CGGCTAGGCACATTCCACATGCGGGTGGGCGTCGGTGCGTTTTGAAGGGCAAGACGCTCACCACGTGTTCGGCTTACGTTACGGGCTTCAGTGGGGGCCGCGTCATCGGCATGGACCCGGAGCAGTTCGGCAACGGAAAAGTTAGCTTCTGTTACCCCGCCAGCCGATAGCGCAGCGGAGCGGTATGCGAGGTGGAAGGGGCCCACAATTGCAGCCACGGTGGAGGCGGCCGGTGAGCAATTTGGTTCCCATCACCCCGCCACATCCAGACAGGCCAGCGCAGTCAATGCCACGGATGCAATGACACCGCATCCCTTGTTAGCTGCCGCAGCGTCACCGCCACAGTTGCGACGCCGACAGCAATTTTCGTTTCTTAGTCATCCAGATGGTCGTCCCGCAATCACTGCCTTGCTTGTCCATGCGGTTCCAAACAACACACCGAAGCCGCTGCTTCCCATGTGGGCGTCCAGCCTCACCTCACCACAGTTGGGAAGGTAGCGTCTGCTTGTCGAGAACTGGATCTCCACGGACACTATGGGCACACTGCCTGAGGAGCAGGTCGAGGAATTCCTTGCCTGGTTGCGACGGCTATGTACTACTCGCACACAGGCTCTGTTTCTGCAACGTCTTGATGATAACGTTGATTTTTATCTGCGAGCACAATACACCCGTGGCTTGATTGCACGCAAATCATTTAAAGCTGGTGATATGATTTTAACAATTCCTCTTACAGAGGCATCCACTGAAAATGTGACGAGCGCCTGGGTCCTTGTCCTCAATTCCGAGGCCCTGCAACGCCATTCGTTGGCGGCACAACGCCGCGGGGTTCCCTCCTATACTACGGTAGAATCCATTATGAGCGTACTAAAGACCTCGTTTGATCCTGAACCGCACCCGTTGTTTGTGGACCAGGTGTACTCCGCGCTCCGTCTCGCCTTCGAGAGGGCTGATGAAAAGCGCAGCCCACTCTACCCGTATCTGCGACTCCTTGCCCCATTTGATGATGAATTTATTCGTGAGATACACCGTGGTGTCTTGGATT